CGGGGAAGCCTTTAAGGCTCTGTCTGCTGTGGAAGAGGAGTGTGACAGCGTGGGTAGCGGCGTGCAGGTGGTGATTGAGGAGCTGCGGCAGCTGGGAGCAGCCTCAGTGGGGCCTGGGCCTTTGGGCTTCCCAGCAACTCAGAGGGACATGCGGCTCCCGGGGTGCACACTGGCTGCCAGCGAGGGGGCCCCCCTGCTCAATCCTGTGAGTACGGCAGCACAGGGCTGTTGCTCCTAAGTGCTTTTCCTGGCCTTTCACTCTTTTTCCTTTCTGTTCTTTTATTTCCATCTTTAAACCTTTTGTCCGTATTTGTGATAAAGCAAAATAGTACCAAGTTTCCTTTTCCTTCAGGGATAATCAGCTCTCCTGTTTTCTTCCTGAACCATTAGCCTCTTTGGCAGAAGGTCATTTTTTGCTGTGTGTAGTGACGGGGTGCCCTTCCCTCTCTCTCAATAGCTCCACATGGCACCTTTTCCTCCACAGCTGTCTCGGCTGCTCCATGGGCTCTGCCTCTCCTGGTGAGGATGCCTGCCGTGCACAGACGGCTCATTCATATTTTATCGCAGGCCCTCTGCTTGCCAAGAGGAATTCAGTACAAAGAGAGATGGGAATGTACAGGGGAGAGAGGCAGAGGTGGAGAGAGGAGGAAAAAGTGAGAGGACAAAGATAAAGATAACAGACGACAGGTATAGGGAGGGAAAGAGACAAGTAGAAATGAAGGGCTGAGGGAGGAGAGAAAGTGCAAAAAGGGAGCACAGAAGAAAGGTGAGTCTATGTGGAAAGAGAATGTACACCACAGGAGAGAGACTATGACGTAAGGCGAGAGGGAGGTAGAGGAAAGGAAATAAAATGGGAAATGAGAAAAAGAAATGGCCAACTGAGTGTTAACAGTAAGATAATAACATATAGGGAGAAAGAGGGAAGAAAAGAAGGAAGCAAGCAAGCATATTTTGTGAGCAGGAAAAGACATAGATGTACATTGTGCTATTTCAGTTTCTTTATTGCTTAAGGGCCATATGAGCAGGAAAATCCTGGCTGAGTGGAGTAAGAACTGCAGAATGTCACACATGGAAGTATGAAAAGGAAATGGAGCAACTATAGAGATCTTAGAGATAGGAAAATAACAGATGTGGTGCCACTTGAGAGACGGTGGGAGTTCTATCAGCTCTCCTCCACCTTTTTTTTTTTTCTCCTCTGTCCTCTTTTTCTCCTGCCCCCACGACAAGACATAGACACCCCAGTAAAGAGTAAAGGAGCAGAACACATGGAGTAGATGGGAGGGATGGAACTCCCAGCCCATCTGCTGGATCTGAGAAATGAATACATAAGCCCCCCTCTCCCCCTCCAGTGTAACACAGCAACTGGTCATTGCTCTCCTGAAGGCACAGCCATATGGGTAATGGCCACTGCTGCTCACCCCAGTCTGTGGCTGGTCAGGACTCTCAGTTGTTCCAGCTCAAGAGAGGAGGACCTGGAAGGTGGGAAGCAGGAGGGTACCAGGCCAGGCATTGCCTTGAGCTGTGGGTTCTTTGAGGCAGGAAAGGCTTCCAGGCTGACAGGATGGAATTAGATTTCACAGTGCAGAAAGCAGCTCACAGGTCTATAAATCTCAGCCTCCTCCCCCGCTTCTTTCTCTCTCTCTCTGTGTGTGTGTGTGTGTGTGTGTCTCCCCACTTTCAGTGTTTTGTTTTCTTGACTGCAGAAATCCCCCCTCCTTTCTTCCTCCCTCTTTCCCTTGCTCCCTCCTTCCTTTCCCAGCTCTGTATGTCCTTGATTGAGGGCACAGGCAGTCAGGTAGATGTCAGGGGCTATGACAGTCGAATGTGACTGGGGTAGGATCAAGGTGAGGGCATGGACTGACTGGGAATGGAGGATAGGTGAGGGGAGCTGTCACTGCCAGTCTCTCTTGGGATTTCTGACTTTATATCTTCCTCCTTTGCTCATTTTTCTTTTATGTCTCCTCTTTATTGTTGTTACTGTTTTCTTTTCTTTTCTTTTTTTTTTTTTTGAGACGGAGTCTTGCTCTGTCGCCCAGGCTAGAGTGCAGTGGCCGGATCTCGGCTCACTGCAAGCTCTGCCTCCCGGGTTCACGCCATTCTCCTGCCTCAGCCTCCCGAGTAGCTGGGACTACAGGCGCCCGCCACCTCGCCCGGCTAGTTTTTTTTATTTTTTAGTAGAGACGGGGTTTCACTGTATTAGCCAGGATGGTCTCGATCTCCTGACCTCGTGATCCGCCCGTCTCGGCCTCCCAAACTGCTGGGATTACAGGCTTGAGCCACCGCGCCCGGCCACTGTTTTATTTTCTTACTCCTTCTCTTGCTTGGTTTCTTTCTTGTCATCACTTCTTCTCCCAGTCCTTTCAGACAAAACACTTACCTAGCTACATTTCTTATATCCAAGAGCTATCTAGAAATGACGATTCACAAACAGTGTCAGAAGCATGCTTTCTCCTTGTGAGCAGCCCTGCGGTAACAACCCAACATGAGAGGCCCTGTACACACAGGAAATATTTGCCCAACACTCATAGGTGTCCCAGAGAAACAAGCCATTGAGCATTAAAGACTGTGCTAGAGTCCCCCTTCTTTCCACTTTCTGTTCACTATTCTTAGCCAAAGAGTGATGGTTAAGCAGGTTCCCCTAAGCCTGGCTGGCTAATAGGCTATTATTTTTTTACATTCTTAGCTGGTGGATGATTATGTGGCCTCTGAGGGTGCAGTACAGCGAGTTCTGGTCCCTGCTTATGCCAAACAGCTTTCACCAGCCACACAACTGGCAATCCAGCGAGCAACCTCAGAGACAGGACCAGAAAATGGAACCAAGCTGCCACCACCCCGCCCTGAGGACATGCTCAATGCCACTGCTGCGCTGGACAGTGCCTTGGAAGAGTCAGGCCCTGGGAGTACTGGGGAGCTGAGACACTCTCTAGGGCTGACCATTTCCCCATGCAGGACCAGAGGAAGTGGGCAGAAGAACTCCAGGCGCAAGCGGGATCTGGTACTCTCTGTGAGTGAGCTCAATTTCTATAAATTTTTCTCCAGTCTGGAAAGATAAGTGAAGAGTGAAGGGTGGGCTGATTTTAGGCCCCCCATATTGAATGAATACTATACTGAATCCTACCAGAGTGGGAGGGATAAGGAGAGAGGTTATTCTGTAACACTAGGGATAGGAAGTCCCCTGCTAAACATCAAACTTTTAGACTTTTCCAGATAATGTGGTATCTTCCTTTATATCACATCTCCTGCTGTCCTTTTCTTTTGAGACGGAGTCTCACTCTGTCACCCAGGCTGGAGTGCAATGGCGCGATCTCAGCTCACTGCAACCTCCGCCTCCCAGGTTCAAGTGATTCTCCAGTCTCAGCCTCCTGAGTAGCTGGGATTACAGGCACATGCCACCACCCCCAGCTAATTTTTGTATTTTTAGTAGAGACCAGGTTTTGCCATGTTGGTCAGGCTGGTCTTGAACTCCTGAGCTCAGGTGATCCACCCGCCTCGGCCTCCCAAAGTACTGGGATTACAGGCATGAGCCGCCATGACTGGCCTTCCCAGTGTTCTAATAATCCTGATGAGAAGATCTTTAAGGGATTGAGCAGATTGATCACCAAAGGGTAACTCTGGAAATTGCCTGCAAATTAAGCTAGTGTGCAGAGTAAGTGGCAAGGGACAACTTGGGTGGAAAAGCAAGTGAAGCTATCCTGAGGTAGTCTCAAGCTTCAGAGATGCAGAGAGTCACTAGACCTTCAGCTCAGTTATAGAGGTTTGGAGATTCCAGTCATCCCAAGAGCTCTTAGCCAGGAAGGGACTGGCCTGAACCAGGTCTGCCTAAAAGCTTCTTGGAGTGGCTGGGAGCCCAAAGAACATCCTGCTGAGCTGGGAGTCCCCGTCCTGGCAGCTGACCAAACCTAGAGAAGTTCTAGGGCAGCAGTTCTCAACCTGGGGTGATTTTACCCCCAGGAGACATTTGGAAACATCTGGAGACATTTGTGATTATTACAACTGGTGGGTGGCTGGGGACAGGGGAAGGAGAATGCTACTGACATCTAGTGGGTGTTCTGCTAAACATCCTACAGTGCACATGACAGCCCCCATAACAAAGAATTATTCAGCTCAAAATGCCAATAGTGAAGAGGTTGAGAAATCTTCTTTAAAGTGACCATATGGGTGCAGCACACCAACATGGCACAAGTATACATATGTAGCAAACCTGCACGTTGTGCACATGTACCCTACAACTTGAAGTTTAATAATAATAAATAAATTTAAAAAATAAATAAATAAAAATAAAGTGACCACAGTCTTTGGGATCAACTCTATATGCAAAAACTTCTTTTTTTTTTTTTTTTTTTTTTTTTTTTTTTTTTTTTTGCCTGAGACAGAGGTCTCACTCCCGTGCCAGGCACAGGAGTGCAGTGGTGTGATCATGGCTCATTGCGGGGTTCCGCTACAGGCTTTTTTTTTTTTTTTTTTTTTTTTTTTGCTTTCTTGAGACAGGGTCTCACTCCCATTGCCCAGGCTGGAGTGCAGTGGTGTGATCATGGCTCATTGCAGGTTCGACTTCCCAGGCTCAAGTGATCTCCCACCTCAGCCTCCAGAGTAGATGGGATTACAGGCATGCACCACCACACCTGGCTTATTTTTTGTATTTTTGTATTTTAGTTGCCCAGGCTGGTCTCACAAAAGCTTCTTTCTGACAATCATGGGGATATTGTTTTTAGTCTCGCTCTGTCATCCAGGCTGGAGTGCAGTGGCGTGATTTCAGCTCACTGCAAGCCTCCCAGGTTCAAGCGATTCTCCTGCCTCAGCCTCCCGAGTAGTTGGGATTGCAGGCGTGCACCACCACACCTGGCTAATTTTTGTATTTTAGTAGAGATGGGGTTTCACCATGTTGGCCAGGCTGGTATTGAACTCCTGAGCTCAGGCAATTCACCCACCTTGGCCTCCCAAAGTGTTGGGATTACAGGCGTGAGCCACCGCGCTCGGCTGGAGATATTCTTTAGCCATACAATGTTCATATTGACTATAATGAGTTTATAGTTACAATTTGCATAAAAGCAGGATTTTCCATCATTTCCATTCCACTTGTGCCTGCTGCCTCCAGAGAGAGGTACAGTGTTGAGGCCTGGCTTCTTCCTTCCCTTAGGAGAGTGTGGTGGAACTGAAGACGTGCAGGAAGGACAGTGTGCTCACTCACCATCATGCTCTCTCTATTCTGTGCTTGAGAAGGATCTGGAGGACCAGTCAGGGAGTTTTGCTGCTCATCATGGAGGAAGGTTTAAAATGTTCTTGTGGCAGACTGTGGGTTTAGAGCGGGAGGGACAGTTGTTCCAATCTTTAGCTCTGGGACGGAATCAAAGAGGCATCTCTCCAATCGGCTGGGGCTCTTGAGGATTGCTGCTAGGGATCCTATAAACCAAAAGGATCAAACCAGAATTCTTTAATTCCTTGGAATGCTGCAGATCCCAGTCACTCCTTGGGGAAATATTTTTAGCTTATTCAGGAGGTAGGTGAGCCAACAGCCTTTACACTCCTCACACTTACTGTCTAGAGTATTTTCCCTTTCCATGTCAAGCCTGTTTTGATTTTTATCAGCTGATCTCTTCAAAGCCACTTAAGTTGGAAGCTATGTAACTCCCTTTTTTCTTTCTCCTTTTGTTTTGTTTTTGTTTTTTTTTTGAAACTCTCCCAAATACTTTCTGAAACATTCACCCATTCCTTTGTGATTCCTTAAGTGTGGACTACTAAAAGGTAAAATGACGGTGTTGAATATGCAGCCAGTATAATGATGGTCTTTTTTACAGAGTGGAGACCCTAGCCATAAAGAGTTGACAATACTTTCCTAAGTTGGTATGGTGAATCAGCCATAGAGGTAGAAGAATAAATTGGGGATTTCTGAATATGGAGCTGCAAAGTCCTCGGATCAGGATATGAATCTGTCAGTTTGGAACTGGGTAATTTCCACTGACTAAGGGAGCTTGGGATGAAAATATAATCAGAAACAACACAACTAAACTTAATAGAAGGAAATGTAAAACCCTGCATTAGGGCTGAGTGTGGTGGCTCAGGCCTGTAATCCCAGCACTCTGGGAGGCCAAGGCGGGTAGATCACCTGAGGTCAGGAGTTTGAGACTAGCCTGGCCAACATGGAGAAACCAAATCTCTACTAAAAATACAAAAATTAGCTGGGTGTGGTGGCGTGTGCCTGTAATCCCAGCCACTTGGGAGGCTGAGGTAGGAGAATCACTTGAACCTGGGAGGCAGAGGTTGCAGTGAGCTGAGATCATGCCACTGCACTCTATCCTGGGTGACAGAGCAAGACTCCATTTCTAAATAAATAAATAAATATTGTAGGTGCTATTATGGGCAAAACTAGGAACAGATTTTGAAACATCTAAGGCAAAACTTTTTCTTTCTTTTTTTTGAAACGGAGTCTCACTCTATTGCCCAGGCTGGAATGCAGTGGCGCGATCTCAGCTCACTACAACCTCCATCTCTTGGGTTCAAGCAATTCACCTGTCTCTGCCTCCCGAGTAGCTGGGACGACAGTTGCACACCACTACGCCTGGCTAATTTTTGTATTTTTAGTAGAGATGGGTTTCACCATGTTGGTCAGGCTGGTCTCGAACTCCTGACCTCAGGTGATCCACCTGCCTTGGCTTCCCAAAGTACTGGGATTACAGGCATGAGCCACCACGCCCAGCTGGCAAAACTTTTTAATGAGTGAAAATGTTTGACAATAGAATAAGCTGACTCAAAATGGAGAGCTCATCATTAGATGGGTATAAACAAAGTGGAAAGACAGCCTGTTTAATGATGTGAAAGGGAGATTGGGTAATATAGCTTCCACGGTTCTTTCAGATTCACATTTCTGTTATTTTAGATTTCTGTTTTTCAGACCATTGTGTATATACTCCTGAGATTTGTGGTAACACACGAGGGGATATATAAAGCCACAGACAAACCCAGGGCTTTTTCCTGGGTCATCAATTTTACTAGCAGATTCCAGAAGACTGCCAGGCTGGGTGGCTCATGCCCCTAATCCCAGCACTTTGGGAGGCTGAGGCAGGTGGTTCACGAGGTCAAGAGATCGCAACCATCCTGGCCAACATGGTGAAACCCCATCTCTACTAAAAATACAAAAATTAGCTGGATGTGGTGGTGGTGTACCTGTAGTCCCAGCTACTCGGGATGCTGAGGCAGGAGAATCGCTTGAACCCGGGAGGTGGAGGTTGTAGTGAGCCGAGATCACGCCATTGCACTCCAGCCTGGCAAAAGAGTGGGACTCTGTCTCAAAAAGAAAAAAAAAATTTCAAGAAGACTTTTGTTTTTTGTTGTTGTTGTTGTTTTTTGAGACGGAGTCTCGCTTTGTCGCCCAGGCTGGAGTGCAGTGGCCGGATCTCAGCTCACTGCAAGCTCCGCCTCCCAGGTTTACGCCATTCTCCTGCCTCAGCCTCCCGAGTAGCTGGGACTACAGGCGCCCGCCACCACGCCTGGCTAATTTTTTGTATCTTTGGTAGAGACAGGGTTTCACCATGTTAGCCAAGATGGTCTCCATCTCCTGACCTCGTGATCTGCCCGCCTCGGCCTCCCAAAGTGCTGGGATTACAGGCGTGAGCCACCGCGCCCGGCTAAGAAGACATCTTTATATTAAAAGAAACACAGACTGGGTGCGGTGGCTCACGCCTGTAATCCCAGCACACTTTGTGAGGCTGAGGTGGGTGAATCACAAGGTTAGGAGTTTGAGACCAGCCTGACCAACATGGTGAAACCCCGTCTCTACTAAAAATACAAAAATTAGCTGGGCGTGGTGCCAGGCACCTATAATCCCAGGTACTCAGGAGGCTGAAGCAGGATAATCACTTGAACCTGGGAGGCAGAGGTTGCAGTGAGCTGAGATTGTGCCACCCACCTTGGCCTCCCAAAGTGCTGGGATTAGAGACATGTGCCACTGCACCCGGCGGGCAAAACTTTTTAACGAGTGCACTCCAGCCTGGGTGACAGAGCAAAACTCTGTCTCACAAAATAAATAAATAAATAAATAAATAAGAAATACAAATACATTTTGAAGAAAAAATTTAAATGTGCAAGAGTAGGGGCCAGGCGCAGTGGCTCACGCCTGTAATCCCAGCACTTTGGGAGGCCAAGGCGGGTAGATCACGAGGTCAGGAGATCGTGACCATCCTGGCTAACACTGTGAAACTCCATCTCTACTAAAAATACAAAAAATTAGCTGGGCGTGGTGGCGAGTGCCTGTAGTCCCAGCTACTCGTCCGGAGACTGAGGGAGGAGAATGGCGTGAACCTGAGAGGTGGAGCTTGCAGTGAGCTGAGATCGCGCCACTGCACTCCAGCCTGGGTGACAGAGCGAGACTCTGTCTCAAAAAAAAAAAGAAAAGAAAAGAAAAAAAAGTGCAAGAGTAGAGGACTTAAAGAGATGTTCATGCCTTTCGGCTCTCTGACCATGGCGGTTGGCAAGAACAAGCGCCTTACGAAAGGCGGCAAAAAGGGAGCCAAGAAGAAAGTGGTTGATCCATTTTCTAACACAGATTGGTATGATGTGAAAGCACCTGCTATGTTCAATATAAGAAATACTGGAAAGACGCTCGTCACTAGGACCCAAGGAACCAAAATTGCATCTGATGGTCTCAAGGGTCGTGTGTTTGAAGTGAGTCTTGCTGATTTGCAGAATGATGAAGTTGCATTTAGAAAATTCAAGCTGATTACTGAAGATGTTCAGGGCAAAAACTGCCTAACTTCCATGGCATGGATCTTACCCGTGACAAAATGTATTCCATGGTCAAAAAGTGGCAGACAATGATTGAAGCTCATGTTGACATCAAGACTACCAATGGTTACTTGCTTCATCTGTTCTGTGTGGTTTTATAAAAAACGCAACAGATACGGAAGACCTCTTATGCTTAGCACCAACAGGTCCGCCAAATCTGGAAGAAGATGATGGAAATCATGACCCGAGAGGTGCAAATGACTTGAAAGAAGTGGTCAATAAATTGATTCCAGACAGCATTGGAAAAGACATAGAAAAGGCTTGCCAATCTATTTATCCTCTCCATGATGTCTTCGTTAGAAAAGTAAAAATGCTGAAGAAGCCCAAGTTTGAATTGGGAAAGCTCATGGAGCTTCATGGTGAAGGCAGGAGTTCTGGAAAAGCCACTGGGGACGAGACAGGTGCTAAAGTTGAACGAGCTGATGGATATGAACCACCAGTCCAAGAATCTGTTTAAAGTTCAGACTTCAATTAGTGTCAAATAAAAAGTGCTATTTGTGGGGAAAAAAAAAAAAAAGAAATGTTCACTTGGCTGGGCGTGGTGGCTCATGCCTGTAATCCCACCACTTTGGAAGGTCAAGGTAGGCAGATCACCTGAGAGCAGGAGTTTAAGACCAGCCTGGCCAACATGGTGAAACCCCATCTCTGCAAAAATACAATAATTAGCCAGGCATGATGGCAGGTGACCGTAATCCTAGCTACTCGAGAGGTTGAGGCAGAATTGCTTGAACCTGGGAGGCGGAGGTTGTAGTGAGCCGAGATCGCGCCACTGCACTCTAGCCTGGGTGACAGAGCAAGACTGCGTCTCAAAAAAAAAAAAAAAGAAAAGTGAAAAAGAAATGTTCACTCGCAGTACTCCTAGTATATACTTGCTTTCTCGGGTGTCAGGGGTATGTTCATGGAAATGTTTGAGGCCCTCTGCCCTAGTGATCACACTACTCAGGAGCAGAAGTAAGGCCAGGGCTGATCCTGGAATCCTGACACACATGAAATGAAAAGTCAGGGAAGACCCCACTTGAAATAGTAACTTGGATAGGCTCTTGGCTTAGAAAGGGCATCTACTGAAATGGTACCTAGGCTATGGGAAGGATTCAGGCAGAGAGCCCCTTAGGGACAATGCCTTTTTACAGTAGGGACCAGAGGAGAGTTTTCATAATATCCACTCTTGGCTTGACTATGCTTTCTTTTTTTCCCCTAGAAACTGGTCCACAATGTGCATAACCACATCACCAATGACAAGAGATTCAATGGGTCTGAAAGGTATGGTCCCCTTGAGGAAAAAGAATGAGAAGGTACTTTGCTGAGGACAGGGAAGTAGAGGGGGATGCTCCAATACAGCAGTGAGACTCAGGCTTTGATCTCTCCATACCTTCTTAGGCCATGGAGGGATTTGCCACAAAGTTGATTAGTGCCGGGTACCTCTGTTTGTCTGGCTCTTACAAAGCCGACAACCTTATTCATTCTCTTCTCTTTGTGGCAGCATCAAGTCCTCTTGGAATATTTCAGTAGTGAAGTTTCTTCTGGAAAAGCTCAAGCAAGAGCTGGTGACCAGTCCCCACAATTACACTGATAAGGAGCTAAAAGGTGAGAAAAACTGGTTTAACTCCTATGCCATCCTTTGTCCCCCTCTCGTCCCACTCCTCTTTCTTGGTCAGAGGAGAAGAGGAATAATAGAGATGATTTAGGTGGTTTTGAAAATAGCGGATTTGAAACTTTTTTTGGCTATTCTCACCTAAAATATATTCATAGAATTATCTCAAATTGCCTGTTTATTTCCCTCAGTCTGAAACGAAAATGAGAGAAGGAAAGGGCTAGAACACCATCATGTATTCTGTTTATGCAGGTCTTGAATCTAACGTATTATAAGAAGGAGGAATCTAAGGTGTTATGAGGAGGTGTTATGTTCAGAAGCCAGGCCTGCCCCTTGGTCCCTAAATATTATTTCCCAGGCTTTCTCTTTCCTTGCTCTCTTTTGTTATTTGTAGCTAACACTGAAGTATTATGAAAGCTTCTGCTGAAAAAGTACTGGTAGGGCCAGGTACCGTGGCTCATCCCTGTAATCCTAGCACTTCGGGGGACCAAGGCAGGAGGATTGCTTCAGCCCAGGAGTTTGAGACTAGCATGGGCAACATGGTGAAACCCCATCTTTACCAAAAATAAACAAACAAAAATAAAAATCAACTGGGCGGGGTGGCATGCATGACATAGTTCCAGCTACTTGGGAGGCTGAGGCGGGAGGATTGCTTGAGCCTGTGAGGTGGAGGTTGCAGTGAGCCAAGATTGTACCACTGAACTCCAGTGTGGGCAAACCTTGTTTCAAGAAAAAGAAAAAATACTTGTAATCTTATATCAAGAGTGGCAATAGGGGTAGATTGTTGTTGTTTTTAAATTTTTTTTTTTATTTAAAAAAAAAATTTTTTTAAGAGTCTTACTATGTTGCCCAGGCTGGTCTCAAACTCCTGGGCTCAAGCAATCCTCCTGCCTCAGCAGGAGGCCTCCCAAAATGTTGCGATTACAGGTGTGAGCCACCACACCCAAGAAGAGGTAGGTTTTATTTGGTGGAGGGAGCTGGGAGACACAGGAGCAAGTAGAGTTGTCTTTTTCCAATGGGAGATATTTGGGAGGAGTTAGTGTTGGAGATGGAGGTGGGCAAAGAAAGCTAAACCAATTAGCCGGCCACGGTGTGTGCACCTGTAGTCCCAGCTGCTCAGGAGGCTGAGGCTGGAAGATCACTTAAGCCCAGGAGTTTGAGGCTGCAGTGAGCTATGACCATGCCACTGCCCCCAAGCCTGGGTGACAGAGCGAGACCCTGTCTCGTAACAAAATCATAAATAAATAAAAAGAAACCTAAACCAAAGAGGAGTGAATAGATGCTAATGTCTATGCCAAGAAAGCCCAGCATCTAGGCCAAGTACGGTTGCTCACGCCTGTAATCCCAGCACTTTGGGAGGCCGAGGCAGGTAGATCACCTGAGGTCAGGAGTTCGAGACCACCCTGACCAACATGGAGAAACCCCGTCTCTACTAAAAAGAGCCGGGTGTGGTGGCACATGCCTGTAATCCCAGCCACTCGGGAGACTGAGGCAGGAGAATCGCTTGAACCCAGGAGGCAGAGGTTGTGGTGAGCCCAGATTGTGCCACTGCACTCCAGCCTAGGCAACAAGAGCAAAACTGTGTCTCAAAAAAAAAAAAAAAAAAAAGCCCATCATCTAAGTAGTGATCCCCAACCTCCCATTCATTAGTGTTAGGGCAGAAAAACGGGCTGAGGACCACTACTCTAGAGGACCCTCCTTCTTGCTCCCTTCCTTCCCTCCCCCTCAGGAGCCTGTGTGGCCTACTTCCTTACTAAGAGGCGTGAGTATCGCAACTCCCTGAATCCCTTTAAAGGCCTGAAGGAAAAAGAGGAGAAGAAACTTCGAAGTCGCCGATATCGGGTAGGTTTCTAG